ATTATCCCATACTAAGTCCATCCATCTAACACTAAAACACGACATATTATTACGGATGATACAAACTGGACAACGTCATACTGATTTTACTGGCCTTTACACCATATAAAACATGCAAGAATAAATACTACAGTACTGTGAAATTATTTGCGTGGATCAGATTTGCCCCCACCACCACCACTACACGCGTAAAAACGCTGAGCCCGCTGTTTAACAAGATTGAACAATGTTTTGCTGCCCACGTTGTTCACACTTGTCAACAATATTGAACAATGTTGTTGGACCTGAATCGGGTGTAACAATATTGTTCAATGTTGTTGACAACTGTGAACGATGTGGGCAGCAAAACATTGTTCAATCCTGTTTTCATCAACATTGCAACAACCTGATCGTTTTTGGCCGTGTAATTGGAAACTACTAACCACTTACATGCAAACGACAACAGCGCGAGATAGTGATGGCGATAATGGAAGTCAAAAGTGACTCCAGCCATTTTACACCACAAATAAATAAAATTGAGATGCTTCTGAAGTAAACTTGACCACCATCAGCCTGTCCTGTACATTTACTGATTGTTTCTAGATATGGTGTATGTTTGATTGGTGTTCGTCGAGCGAACAGTTCAAAGGTGTTGCTCAATCCTGGGAGTTCGTATATAATGGGCTACAACGACACATGTTTCTATATCTCGATGTCGAGCGAAGAAGAAAGTGCGTTTAAGGAAGTTAAAGAATCGAAATCATCTAAGTTTGGCAGTTCGTCTGGAGATTTTAGTGATCAGTCCAATAAAATTATGATCGAGATGTCTGATACAAAAAATAATGGAGCCAGTAAGTATTGATGATAGTGATGGTGGCAATGGCGATGATGATGGTTGTGATGGTTATGATAGTTGTAATGGTGATGGTGGTGGAATGGTGATGATGATGGTGATCGTCGTTGTCTGTTGTCTGTTGTCTGTTGTCTGTTGTGCGTTGTCTGTTGTGCGTTGTCTGTTGTGCGTTGTCTGTTGTGCGTTGTCTGTTGTCTGTTGTGCGTTGTCTGTTGTCCGTTGTTCGTCGTCGTCTACTATTTACACTAGTGTTACTTTTATATTCATCAGCTGCAACATCAGTGAACTACGAAAACGAGAAAGATGCCAACAGTACAGGTAACGGCCATGTAACAGCCTCGCAACAACCTGCAACAAATCCTGAACAGCAAACTGGCAATGGAGTTCATTTCGAGCAGATGAAGCCACCAGATGCACTCTCAGTGGGATCTTCTGTTAATTATTTCGTCCCAAGCGATTCAGACGTCGAAGATGACTTACAAGATGCAATGTCAGGTGCTCTTGCGCCTTCGAAAATACCAGAGTAAGTAGAGCTTGCCGCTTTAGTTATACTGGACATCTATTTTAGTTGTTAATTATTCTACCTTATTGCAACTAACTTTATTTATACTAGTAGATAGCTATATCAGTTCTAAACTGTTCTTCCTAGAGGTCCAGTAAGAATCATCTCTTATTGATCCAGTGTTACTACAGGAGGAAACCTAAACTAAACTAACTTTATTTATATTTGATAGCTCTATCAGTTCTAAACTGTTCTTCCTGGAGGTCCAGTAAGGATCATCTCTTATTGATCTAGTGTTACTACAGGTGGAAACCTAAACTAAACTAACTTTATTTATATTGGATAGTTCTATCAGTTCTAAACTGTTCTCCCTGGAGGTCCAGTAAGGATCATCTCTTATTGATCCAGTGTTACTACAGGTGGAAACCTAAACTAAACTAACTTTATTTATATTGGATAGTTCTATCAGTTCTAAACTGTTCTCCCTAGAGGTCCAGTAAGGATCATCTCTTATTGATCCAGTGTTACTACAGGAGGAAACTAGAGTATCTGTGTTTGATAGAGTGAGATGAAATTATAAAAAGGCAACTACATAGTGCATGAATTGAACCCCAGTCACAGAAGTGAGAGTTACATTCAATAACCAGCGAGCCATTTATCATTTTACTGAGTCTAACTTTATTATTTCCCCATAGTTACGTTATTGAGATTCCTCCAATCTCTCCTTACATTGGAAGAGTCACTATGAAATGTCACTTGCTACCGACAAGCTTACCGTTATGTTGTTTGAATTTGACAAGCGTAAGTAAATTTTTGCAATGTTCTCTGCTTTACTTGCTCTATCAGTTCTGAGCTGTTTTTACTTATTGCTCCACTATCACAACAGGAATACACCTAAACTAAACTTAACATTTTAATAAATAGACTAAATAATTTTTGTTGTTTATATTTTCTAGCAATGTGAACACAATCCTTGTCCAAGACAGCGAGAAGAAGGCGCCATTATTCTAGCCTCTCCCGTGGTTGAGGCTGGCCTTTATAATTTCATTCTTCCCCTGAGATCCTCCAATCTACCCCGTCTATCCCTCAAGCCTATTGTCCTGTTGGTGGGGGAAGTGTAAGTAGTTTATGCTACATAAATTTTCCGTAACGCAAAATGGTTCTCCATCTGTGAAAATATTACAATCCTTACTCGTGAATGATCAATGTGAACTTATGGTTATTAGTTGTCACAACAGGAGATTTTCCCCTCATGCACGCTAGAAGGTATATTATGCACATCATGATGAGATACTATGAACAAAATTATGTGCTCCAAATAATTTTTCGTAACTAATACGTGAGACCAATATTGAGTCAATAGTATAATATCGATGGATTTCTATCAAGCATTTCACACAAATTTAGTAAAACGACATTGACATTTTCCTTTATTTGTGAACAGGCCTACTGAAAGTTTTCTTCAAGCCATATGCTGTTTTCCGATGTTATACTACATTGTTGGCTCTGTATCCAGGTAAACAGTGTACATGTAATGCACAAGGGTCCTATGTCAGAGTGTCTCCTACTGGACCTCTAGGAAGAACAGTTTAGAACTGATAGAACTATTCAGTATAAATAAAGTTAGTTTAGTTTAGGTTTCCTCTTGTAGTAACACTGGATCAATAAGAGATGATCCTTACTGGACCTCTAAGAAGAACAGTTTAGAACTGATAGAGCTATCCAGTATAAATAAAGTTAGTTTAGTTTAGGTTTCCTCCTGTAGTATCACTGGATCAATAAGAGATTATCCTTACTGGACCTCTAAGAAGAACAGTTTAGAACTGATAGAGCAATCCAGTATAGATAAAGATAGTTTAGTTTAGGTTTCCTCCTGTAGTAACACTGATCTTTTATTTAAGTCTGGACGATCTACTCGAGGCGGGAATACTAAATTCAGATACAGTAGTGGTGACGCGTACAGCTCACGCTGGTAGTCATGACGACGAGAAAGATGAGGAATTCATGGCGGATGCTTTAACCATTGTTAGCGTTCAGACGATATTCAGGTAAGGGAGCTCGCCAGAACAGAGTTTGACCTGAACAGCAAGAAAATTATACTATTGTGATTTGCTTGCTTAGTAAAACCCAGTGAGGTAAAACCTAACTACACCACTTCTTTATTACAGATTATTTCCACGAATGAACCTCTCAGTTGAGTTGACTCATACTTCAAACATGAGATTCATGAAATTTGACGCTGGCATAGTGGAAACACTGTTGGAGGATGACGACAAAGACGAGGAAGCCTGGAAACGAAAATCTGTCAAGGTAAGTATATCTACAGATGGTTCTAGCAAGCCAGATGTATGCCTGGTGCTCATAGACATCACCTGACGTCTCGTAAATTGTAATATATAAAATGTGAGTGGCTGTGTTGTATAAGATATACAAACATGAGCCGAACGCAAGTGGCTGTTAACAAATAGATAAGATTTTGCCGTTGTCTGTTTAGTTATAGATACACAGTACTATTGTTCCCAGTAAACTGCGAAGCGACCGTTTTTTCGGCTGTTTGTCAGTGACAGTTTTGTCAATTACGAAGGACATATTTGTGTACTTCGTGATCACAATTTGTTGCAAGCGGCGTGTGAAAAACTGCAAGTTTCAGTTTGACAGTTCTGACAGTTAAATGGTTTCTAATTTTATTGTCCAATCAGGTGCGTAGTTTTGATTTAAAATTCAGAACTACGCTCCTGATTGGACAATAAAATTAGAAACCATTTAACTGTCAGAACTGTCAAACTGATACTTGCAGTTTTTCACACGCCGCTTGCAACGAATTGTGATCACGAGGTACACAAATATGTCCTTCGTAATTGACAAAACTGTCACTGACAAACAACCGAAAAAACGGTCGTTTCGCAGTTTACTGGGAACAATAGTAAGTAGTATGACATTATAATGGTGAAAGAACAAAAAAGTGATCACGAGCCGCCGAGGCGAGTGTGGGTCACTTATTTGTTCTGCCCACAGACAACGGCAAAATCTTATCTATTTGTTTTATATAATAAAAAGAAAACCGCCGAATTAAACAGGTAAATAGCTTACTTTTTATCCAGCCAAACATTTGGAAATTTCAAAAAGTCGAAATTTTACAAATATTACGCGTACATGATCTATACAAATAAGGGAATGCTATTGGATAAGAGTTTGTGTGACGTAATTCCGTGCATCTGTTCTCTAATAGATCATGGCTCTCGAACCAATGAAGGCGCTTGAACAGGGACGTCGCGAAGCCATCAACATTGGGGGGGGGGGGGGGTCATGTTTTGACCAACATTTCCTAGGATTCTGCCCAAGTCGTACAAATTTTTCCCAAGAATGTCGACGGGGGGAGGTCAAAAAATTTTACGGACTAAAATAAGCATGGTCGAAAACATTTTTCCGGACTAAGATAAACATATTCAATATTTTTCGACCAAGATAAGCAAGGCTTCCAATTTTTTCACCGCAAACATAACAAAAGCTTTAAAATTGTTAAAATTGCGAACCATTTCATAACTTTGAGCAACTTCGACCATCTTTTATCCCAAACTTTAACCAAATTTTTCCGAGTTTTACCTTCAATTTTAAGCAAATATCAGTTCCATTTTGACCAACTTTGACCAACGTTTGAATTGTTGGGGGGGGGGTGTTACACCCCCCACCACCCTCCACCCCTATAGCGACGTCCCTGCGCTTGAATTCTTAAGGTTATTATATAAATAGCTTATAGAACAGGGACGTGAATGCTGTAAATATATGAAATTAAATTCTTCATTAAAACGTGAGAAAAATGAACTTAACATATATACAAGCTCCTACACCGTCATAATTTTCTATGTGTTGTCTTCATGAATCATCTGGATGAAAATGACAAAATACAGTTATGATATTTGCAATTTTATTCATTTCAGAAATCAAGAACGGCTACATCAAAGAAAGCACATCTCAACTACATGTTCAGCGAGTCTTTCGCAGACGGCAGCGCGTTCAGTGCTAGCATGATTGATACCCTCTTGTATCAGACGTTTGTCAAAGACTACATGATTGATCTCATTGGACTAGCCATAGGTTTGAAACAAACGATGGGCTCTGGCTATCTTACTTCGGTACGTTTAGATGGTTTTAGATGATCAGTTTTGACAAAAAGTGGTGGTCCTGCCTTTTGTCTTTATTCAATACTCGCTACGGACTCATGTGAAAAGAGTCAGCCAACGCTCTGCCGAAAGTCGTGGGTTTTCTCCGGGCGCTCCGGTTTCCACCCACAGGGAAAGTTGCATGACAGAGTGGGTTAGGATCAACACAGTTAAGAAAAGTAATATCACAATTGTTGTAAAGATAAAAAATAGTCTAGGCTAAGCATGTAATTAGGTAAGCCTATTACTTGATGTAAAGCGTGTTTCATCATATCAACATGTAAATCTGCGCTGGAGAAATGCTTATCATAATCTCAAGGCAATATAATAAATGAATAGTTTGTGTTATATATTCGTGTTTGTTCTTGTAGATCAAGTTGACAGAAGATCACATGTGGCTTGGGAACTATGGATGTCTTTATCAAAGATTGTGTTCAACAACTGGTGAAGTCCCTGTTGGAATGTTGAGAACCGAGGAAGTCCAGAAGGTTGGGCATTTTTACTGAAACTTCAGTTGTATGATAATAATTCGCTCCTGTCGCACTTGAGAAGAGCCCAGTTTTAATCGGGTTTTTTCCTGCACTCGGGTTTCTTCTTGCAGTGGCAATGGATCAATAAGAGATGTCTCAATACTGGACCTCTAGGAAGAATAGTTTAGAACTGATAGAGCTACCCAGTATAAATAAAGTTAGTTTAGTTTAGATTTCCTCCTGTAGTAACACTGGATCAATAAGAGATGTCTCAATACTGAACCTCTAGGGAGAATAGTTTAGAACTGATAGAGCTATCCAGTATAAATAAAGTTAGTTTAGTTTCGGTTTCCTCCTGTAGTAACACTGGATCAATAAGAGATGATCCTTACTGGACCTCTAGGAAGAACAGTTTAGAACTGATAGAGCTATCCAGTATAAATAAAGTTAGTTTAAGTTTCCTCCTGTAGTAACACTGGATCAATAAGAAGTAACCTTTATTGGATCTCTAAGAGGAACAATTTAGAACTGATAGAACTATCCAGTTAGTTTAGTTTAGGGTTTCTTCCTGTAGTAACACTAGACTATTCATGAAATTCTCGAACGTTATTTTACTTCAGGAGACTACGATGGGGTCAGGAAAGAGTGCTGAAACGAAAGATATTGAAAGAATAATAAGAAACCGAATGAAATCCTTGAATATTGAAGGAGAATGTACGTAGAGATTTTTGGGAAATTGTGGTAAAGTAAAGTATATCTCGACTTAAATGTCTTCTCTGTATTTCACAGTTGATATGAGTGAACATCGCACAATATCGTATGTGGTTAGCAATCCACCGCCAGAATGGCAACTTATTCCTGGGGATATTGTGTAAGCTGTTTTTGCTTCTTGAAAAGTATATATCCGGTGTATATCCACACCGGGCAGGCTTGAAAAATATGCCTGGCCACGGCGGGATTCGAACCTACGACCTTTGGTCCTTCCAAAGGTCGTAGGTTCGAATCCCACCTTGGCCAGGCATATTTTTCAAGCCTGCCCGGTGTGGATATACACTCAGAGTAACGTCACACAAGCATATTATTCACCTGAGTTTATTAACTGTGGTACATTATACCAACACAGCAAATATCATGATTATTAGATTATACTGATATCGAAGGAACTAGACTCAGTTCCGAAATATCGCACACTCGAACCGACCTGACCGCGTAGCTCAGTTGGCAGAGCATTGGGCTAGTATTCCAAAGGTCGTAGGTTCGAATCCCACCGTGGCCAGGCATGTTTTTCAAGCCTGCCCGGTGTGGATATACACTCAGAGTAACATCACACAAGCATCTTATTCACCTGAGTACATTACACCAATACAGCAAATTCACATGTAGCTATACGTACGATCATCATATATAAATCTAGCGCTTCTGTGCTTTCGTACACCGGACCCAGTGGAATAGATTTTGTCGGCTTCCTTAAGTTAGTTCTACCCCAGCCTTAATGTGAATAGAAACGTGCAATAAAGTAATGCGTTTTTTCTTCCTTTTATAGATATGTCTTGAGATCCGGCAACAGAGGCTCGTCATCAAGAGCAAACTCCGGCCAACAACCAGTGCAATCGAGTGCCGTATGATTGGCGGAAATATCATCACGTGAATCAATTCATACTCCCTGATTGGAGACCGAAATTAATAATGATTTTCGGAGGTCACTTTGGAATTCGTTTTACAATTGTGTAGCTCTCGGTAATACGCACAAAAAATGGTCTTCAGAATCCGCATCCATTCTGGCTTCGGATGCTTAAGGAATTAGGTTCAAAATAGCTTCAGATGCTTAAGGAATTGGATTCAAAATAGCTTCAGATGCCTAAGGAATTGCTTTTACTTATACTTATACTAGCAGAAAAAATACAGAATGCACTGCACATTGCACCAAAAACCCAATGATTTGTATAGTTCAGTCCAGTTGAATGAAATTTATTGCTATATTCAGTAAGTATGAAGGTAAGCTGCTGTGGTTTGTGTCTGAGCTGCTTAAAAATATTTCGTATTTCGAGCGTCTTCAGGAGATTAAAGGCTACTTCAACCGTATCGTACCGAAACGCGTCTTCAGGAGATTAAAGGCTACTTCAACCGTATCGTACCGAAACGTGCTGCGAACTGGTGAGCGTGCGGTAGATTATCGTTAAAAATAGGTTGATAAATCCGCTTATCGAAATGTTTCATGTAGTTCAGACACCATCAATTTGAGGTACATATTGTACATAAAGATAAGTATTAGATGACACTAACCATATAACTAATTTTTATAGCAAAATGGCACTAATCTTGCCGGTAAAGGATACCTAAATTTAATGCGCAACGCTTGTCTTTAGATGGCTTGTTTCTAGAGTCGTAATGTTTAGTCACAGAGTAGATAAGACATACAGAGACGTAACTGACCGTTGTAAACACTGCGGCAGATTACGTTATCATGTACCCACTTTTTTTCAGGCGACCGGGCGAAAAATGATCAACTGCGCGTGCTCAGCAAGTTTAAAGTGAGTCGTCATCAGGTCGTCATCCAATCAGATGCATGCATCTAGTAACTTGCCGAGCATGCGCACAAAAAAGTGGGTACACTAGTTACGTCTCTGTATGTCTCTACTCTGTGGTTTAGTCAGTTTCCGAATGTGCTTAAATTAACATCAGACAATGGTTCGAGATCGAGGCTGACGACCGAGAGATTTAAATTTTTCTTCCGCTACCATTAACCAATCAAATGCGTTTAATCTATCCGATTAGCTATCGTTTAATCAAATGCGTTTAATCTATCCGATTAGGATGCGTAGTGGGATCAAAATTGAACCTCTCTAACGACATGGAACTGCTTGTGCGAAGCTGCATAGAATAATATTGTTAAGCCGGACACATATCTTACGATTCGCGATTTATGGTTTAGATGAATGGTATTTAACGAAGTCAATATAGAGTGGCGAGAATAATGAGCCCTCGGGTCATACTACCAAATGTTTCTCGTTCATTAACATGCATCTGAACCATAAATCGGTTGACTAAAATCGTTTACTGTACGTCCCATTTTAGCCTCGATTTCAAGCTATGGTTTCATGCGCACAATTTTGAAACGTAACTAGAGAATTATTTATACTTGTAAATAGTGTACACTATAAATTTCGCTTTTGAAATTATTTAAAACCAATAAACGATTATTGAGAAATTGGGTTGTGTTTTACCAACTGAATATTTGATTGTTTCCATTGATGGTTGCAGTCTTTTCGTCCGCAACTTTGATCAAGTTCAGTTCCACAACACATCTTCAGATACTACGTCACGGAGAGTTCCATGAGGCTTGGCCTCGGTGCCCGCTGTCATGAATCAAGACAAACGGCAATACACCCTCGATAATTACGTCATTTAGCCTGGGAGCCTCGCTCTCACGAATCGTGAGCCAATCACCTTGCGTAATTTACTAACGATATCTAACCTCCAACACCAAAAACTATGTGTGACGCAATTATTAAAAGGGAGTATTCGGCCACAGAATAAGGTACACAGAAGGTCGAC